TGTTGTCAATTTGCCTTTCGTCTAACTTTTGTACATAAACAGAAGAACAGAACCTTCTTATCCTCAAAGTTTTACAAATAAGCACCACAGTCAAAGAACATTAATTTTTAGCTTTTCCAGAAAAATTACAATACTATCTTTGGTCCCTAGCAAGTAATGCTCAGATGCATTGCTTTCTATTATGCATCATCATCAACACATTAAGTAATGAAAAATTAATGTTAATTATATATTTCAAGAAAAGTAAATGAGGAGTAGATGATATGGACCATCTTGTAAATACATACTCATGTAATATATACAGCAATCACTGACCATTTATATTTTTCTTAAACACAATGAATGTGTGGACTGAAGCCATGTAGGGGATTTTCAAAAACTCTACTTGGAATGGAATGTAAAAAGACACAAGATCATTTAAAGTTCACCCATGAATTGTATGAAAAAAGGTTTACATAACTTGAGTTGTCTCCCCATTACATATACTTTTAGAGGCACTTTCACATCGCAAAAAATTTTAAAAAAATATTTCATTTGAGTTAGAAATAGAAAGTGTAGTAAGTATGATCATAACCAGTCTGTAATGAACAAATTGAAGAAAACTGAGGTGTGATACATTTCATTATCTAAAGATTATTTTATTAAAGATATTTTCATTGTAGACACTACTAGATCCACAGGACTCTGCATTCCAGGTTAAAAATGGGTTGCCCACAAAAAGGGGAAGGCTATTTTACAAGGAGCAAAGAACTTGGCATGATATTTTCTAGAAGATTACAGATTAAAAAAAGTTATTGAGAATTACTCAAAAAAAGAAACTTTAATCACATGCTTGTAATATTAAATGTATTTACTGTTGAATGTTATAAATTGTTACAATGTTATAAAATATTGTTTTGTAATCCAATATGTAAATTTTTTATAAAATTGTTAAATTGTTGAAGAGATTTTGTGGCTCATGACCATGCTGTTTCTCCGTGATCTAAAATTTAAAAATATATATTTTAAACCAATTTTTTATTGCATTATTTAACGTTCTGTCATTTCTTTAGTAAACAATGCAAAGAACTAACGTTTATTTCTGTATAATAATTTTCTTAGACACAACTCAGAGCTAAAATTGGATATAGTTTTTATTGCAATGCTTCAGCCTGTTTTTCTATGTTGAGGGTAAATGGTGATGGAAGTAAACCTAAATCCCTTTCCAGTTTGAGAATTTCTAAACTTTTCAGGTAACAATCCTTCTTCATTAACTCAATTGTCAGTTCCAGCTTTTGTAACTTCAAAGATTCCATTAGGTCGTTTGTAACACTTTCTTCATATTTTCTTTTCTTCGAGGAGACATTTTTAGCTATTAAGGAATTAAGTGTCAACTCTTTGCTTGCTGATTCCATTACTAAGTTTTTAGACACTTCATGAACCTTCGAGAAGGAATTCAAAATATTTTTTATTGGACTACAATTTCCAGTAGTGTTCATATCTTTAGTGCCATCTACTGCATCTACCTTCGATTCTGTATTTCCTCCATTCTCTGTATGTTTTATATATTCCTCAGAATCTCTGAAATAAAATGAATAATTCATATATATTTTCTTATAAACAAGTGCAATTGGAATTTTTAAGCCAGTATTGAATATTTACTCTTCACTCTCTAACCTAAACAAAATTTCCATTTTACACAAGAATAATTTTCCCTCCCCTTTTTACAAATACCAACACAAACTTCTGAGAACTTTAAATCACACAACATTATGTTGCGTTCTAAGGATGAAGTTTACTCATGCAGATTTGCCAACTAAAATTGGCTTACATTTAAATTAAGTCACCTATAGCTCTATACCAAGAACCTCATTTCTGGTTGCAAAATATGTGAAAGACTGATATAAAATAGCAAGACTGAGAGGATGTAACTTATTTATAGGAAAACACTTTGGATCAAAGTAATGCCACTTTACGCAACACCACTAGCGACTTTCAATGCACCTACCAAACATCCAAGTCCTCTGTTCTGTGGCAATTATCCCACTAACAAAGAAATCTGCACCAAACTAAATCAAAATGGAGTACTTCTAGACAGCAACTTCAATCAGAGGCATACGTGGGTTTTTTTGATGACCAAAATATACCAACTTGCTCTAAATTAAATCAAGCTAAGCAATAAGAAATACTCAAATTCTGTTAAACTGAATAAGAATGCAGTTCTGTTATAAAGAATCGAAAGAACACGGTCTACAACAACTGGATTATTAATGCACATATTTATTCTTAATGAATACATTTTTTATTTTTGAAGCCTAACACAAAGATGTTATCAACCTTTGTAATATCAGTTTCTAAATACATTAAGAAATTTAGAAAAGGTTTTCATATTCATAAACTGTAGGATGAATTTAACCCTCCCAAATAACTTCAAAATGTAATGTATATTGCAGTATACAAAGAAAATAAGATTGACCAGGAATATTTTGATAAAATCAAATATTACAGGACTGAGAGGTGGTTTTATTTGTAAAAGGCCCACCAAAAAAATAATGATTTGTTTCTTTTATTTAAAATTTTCCAAGATCTGACAGACATGAAATAAATACAAAACAAGCTGGTAATGATTGTATAGTAGGCAAACCACATGTCACAAGAGAAGTTGTCATGTTACATGACACTGAGGCACTAAAGGGACTGTCAGATCTGAAGGCTGTCACTTTTGTAGCTAGAAAGTAATAGAGAGAGTTATTTTCTGCCTAAATAGCAAATGTTGAGACTACATCAGCTGTAACAGCTACTGTTGCATCAATAACAGACTTAAGGGGTTGTCCATAAATTACATAACGCTAGAGAGAGGGGAGGAGGTGGTGTGGTGCAGCATTACTTAGGGGTAGGGAGGTATTTGTTTTGTGTTACATAACAGTGATTTTCTTTTTTAAACATTTTCTTCATCTATTGAAATGCTTCCTTTTTTGAGTTTTATATTAAAATATTAACAAATTAATTTGTTTTAAAACATAAATAAAGTTATTAAGAAGTTGTTACAACAAACACAAATATTTTATCAATTTTTATATTGAATCTGTAAGACCACGAAGAAATATTCAAAACCGATCTGTAGTATATTTTCTAATCCAATTTAATCAGCGCAATAGACTCTCGCCCATGTGCCATCCACAACAGCTTGAGGTCAGAAATGTTCTCGCCTATGCATCCCTACTTTCACCCGAAACTGGCCATCAATCTAATTGATAGCATTGCCGACTTATTCTGACTTTAATTATAATACATTTTAAAGCATAACACAAATTGTTTTTGCTGTGCTTTAATACATTTTCATTTCTTGCATTTACAAGGGCGGTGTTGTTGCAGGTGTTATGTTATTATTTAGGGGAGGTTCAATTTATCCCTACGTAAACCTTAACCAATGCATCTGCAAAGGATTGTTTAATTCATGTTCTAAATTGACACAGTAAACTCTTCCTGGACATTAACCTCTATAAAGCAGTCAACTTCGTTGTCAGTAGTTTCCTCCCAATGCCCTTAGATCAGGATTGTCATACTGGCAAGCCGTTTGTGGCCCGTGAAAAGTTATTAGTCAAAAGTGAAAGTCCCTTGCATACATGCTGGACGAGAACATTGGGCGTCCAACGAATGTACCATGCCAGGATCTAAACACCCTTTAATATAAAAGTAGTTTAAGTTTAGCTAATAAGAACTTTTTCTTGTAAATTCAGAAATTCAAAATCATTTGCATGTGTTTCACTGCGGTATGCATGATACGGACTGATATCATGCATGGTCCTTACCCCTAATTAAAAACATGGCCTGCAACTATATGAAAGGTTTTAGCTGTGGTCCTTGAGGCCTTGCAATTTCTAAGGCAGGGGTGTCCACGGTGATCAGAGTGGCCCATAAGGGTGGGGTTGGGTTTATATAAAAAAAAAGTAATTTTCTTCTTTTTTCACTTGTGATTTTTTTTGCCTGAATCGATATCTGTAAAAACTAAAATACTTCCTATGCGCTGAGAATGTGATGGAGTGAACTCTGCTTAAAATCTGTGGGCAGCCCAATGATGACAAACAAATTTCTTATGGAAGTGTATAGTTTTGGCAACAATAAAAAAAGTACTGTGAGCCAGCACCGATAATATGTCATACATCAAATGAACTAGTTTAACAAGTTTCTGAAGAAAATATGAATACAATAAAACAAAGATACCGATAATGAAATAACTTAACATAAAAAGTGATATAACTCCGAAATAATTTTTGTGTAGTTATGTCAGACTGACACTACGATCTCGATTTGTGGGTACAGTTATGTAATAAACTTCTACCGGAACCGAATGTCTGTTTGCGACATTTTGTAGTACCCGCCTCTATGCAGGAATCTGTAGGCTGCAAACAAGTTTTAGTCCCAGTGTATGTATGGTAATAGAAATATCTAAAGAATCACATCACCTATTTTAAAAATCTAAATCCTACAAATAATATTACATAAAAGATTTCAAAAAAAAATAATTCAAAACGGCAAGAATTGAGTAGGCATTTTGAACATTCTTTTGTGCTTTCAATATTTAAAGAACTTCATCGATTGCAGTTTTTCAAGATACTTTAAACCAGTTCAAATATAAACATCACCTGGTACATTGTAAGACAATTTAATTTCTGGCCCAAGGAACAAAGTTCTTCAGTCCAAAGTCTATTCATAAATACATTTTTGAAAAATGTGATTTCATTTTAACAGGTATCTACATGATGAAACCATGCATACAATAAAATTCAAAAAGAAAATGAACACAGAAGACATCCTCAAATTAACTCTTTGAAAAGATTTAAACATGCTGAATACCTCCACTCTACTCAGGAATAGAATTTCAACAACAGACTTAACTATACATCCACAACACTACACTAATTTACCGCTTGAAAAAGTCATAATAAATTAAAATAATAATCTTATAAAACATTCATGTTCATCTTGAAATATTTACATAGAAACTACAAATCAAAGAATTCAAATATGAATAAGTGTATAGTTTGAAAGCAGCAATTGGTGATTATACAAGTACAGTAGAACCCCTGTAATTCAAACTAATTGGGGGTGCAGTCTGTTTAAGATTCAAAAATGTTTGGATTATTCAAAAAACTGTACCGTACATATACAAATACAACTGTAGGATTACCAGACAATGCAACATACCATGCAATGTGAGAAAATGGCAACATAGCGTAATGATCACGTCATCAAGAAAATTCAGTTCCTTACGGCAAAAGATAACAGATTTTGCAAGTTCCTCTACCTGATAATTACTGCAACATAAACATGTGATATACACTGTAGTTACCAGTGCAATAAATGTTTTATTTGAAAAGTTGTGTTTCAATAGTGAACTTCCTCAGTTCTACAGTAATTATAATAAAATCCATAAAATCCTTGCTTTGCACTACAAATGAGCAATTTATTTATTTTGGTTATTTTTCCTCCATCCCAAATTTTGTTTGTATTATCCAAAATTTCGGATTAGCAGGTTCTACTGTATCAAAAACACAGCCATTTTGATCAGCCAAGGCAGAACATTTAACAAACATACACTTCTGGCATCGTGTTGCTGTTGCCAACAGGAATGGAGCCTTCGTCCCCTGGACCCACGATCATCTTGTCCAACAGGGCCTTCGCAGCAGCGTGTTTGGCCTCCTTCTTGGACCTGCCGGTTCCCATTGCTAGAACAGACAAGCAAACGTCACAGGCCATCAAAACCAAATATCACTTGCAACTATCACAGTGTCAAAACAAACATCAGAAGCAGCAATCATGAATCATCAAAACCAAACATCACAAGCAACTATCACAGAGGGTTAAAATCAAACATCATAGTAACCGTCATAGAGCATCAAAACTAAAAAGAGCACGTCATTACATCTACTAGTACTTTTACAGTACAAAGAATCCACTGAACATGAATTGTGACTTAAAAGCATGTTAGATGAAGAAATTTATATACCTAGAAATAATATTTTTTCAATACTAGGTAATAAAAGTTTCTCTCAAAAATTCAATTGGAAGATAATGATAGATACTCCACATTTAAAAAAGACTTTACACAATGGTACTTGAATACATTGTATTGTCCTTGAATTGTAAATGTCTTGGGACCATTTTCCACACAGAATTGATTTTATTTGGTAAAGTGGTTATAAAAAGGAATATTGCACATAAAAAAATCACAGAATTTAGAATCTTTAGTTATGTGCACATGGAAATACTAAAGTTTATTAGGCGAGGGAACATGATATAATGTCACTTCTGAACAGGATGTAGACAACTCTTACAATAAATGATTATAGCTCTTGCAATTTGCAGAAAAAATGATACACAATAATATTGGTTATCCGAAGAAAATCTTACAATGTAGGTACCATATTGAATTTTTAAAAGGGATGAAAGAAGAAAGATTAATAAAGACTTTGGAAATTAACGAACGTAAAAAAATATATGTTTATTGATGAAAAGTTTAAATACATAAATAAACCCCAATTGGGGGTACTTCTTCATTAAATTTTAAAATAAACATAATTCCAAATAGGACATTATAAAAAGTGAAAGTAAATTAATCAAATCAGCAAGAAATGAATGTAGTAAATTTATATGGCTTAACCCTTTCAATCACATTTTCCTGTCTATACTACGATCAATATTTTTGTGTTTAATATACTAAGAAATAATTTTCTGCAAGATTAATTTATATTCTTTATTAGCTATTTGTTTAAACGGCACATTTAGGGTTGCCCTCTATACAAAAGATATTTTCAAGAGTTAAACATTATAAATTTCCCACGTTTATACAGTTTAGAACCATGTTATCAATTGAAACAAGTTGGTCCATTTATTATCAGAAATGAAGAAATACACAAACAGACCATTAGAAATAGGCAACAATTGAGGCCAATAGCTCTTATTATAAGTGCATGTTTTCTTGAGCCCCACTCCTTTACTAATATTAGTTGAATTCAGAATAAATAATTGCAAGGAGCATTGTTAACAAAATATAATAACCAGAAATGCTCACTTTTATGTAATAGAGACTATTTTACATCAAAAAACAAGTCACAAGTTTGATATAATAGTTCTGCAAAAAAAAAATTCAGACTCCCCCACTCTTGCATCTAGCAAAATGAGGTTTCAAGAAAACGTGTGCAGATAATACTGCTTTTTGAGGACAGCTCTAGATGTGGGAATGAGGTTATTCAACTTGTTACAAGATGGCATAAAAAGTTATAAATATGTCATATGTAATAACAATGTGTACGTATGACCAGAAACACCGTGATTGGGATTGTTAGCTCTACCCGGAACTGCACTCGAGTTGTAGCTTATAATTCTGCTCTCCATCCAAAGCTCTTTATCTCCCCACAATCAACATCCCAAGATTTAAAAAAATTACCATTGTTGTAGTTATTTATATTGTCGCCTTCCTAAATCGATTGATATATACTAATACTATATATATAAAATATTATATATATATATATATAATATATATATATCACCTATACACAACCCACCACACACAACACACATACACAGTGTTATTACACGTAATATGACATATTTATAACATTCGTTTTATAGCCATCTTGTAAACAAGGTTGAATAACCGCATTTCGCGCTGCACATCTGAAGCCTGTCCTCACAAAAGCAGCGATATTATATGCACACGTTTTGCTGAACCTCACTTTGTTCTAGATCGCCAAGATTGGGGGAGTACTGAATTCTTGTTGTTTTTTGCCAAAGAACCTTCTATATCAAACTTGTGACTTGTCTTTTTGCATTGTAAAATATGTCTTCTTATCACATAACAAGCTGACCATTTCTGGTATATTATATTTTGTCAACATATCCTCCTTCCCCAATCAACTTATATTCTGAATCTCAACCTTAATATCTAGTAAAGGCAGTGCGGCCCTCAAAAATCCAGCACTCATATAATTTAAAGCTATTAAGGCCTCAAATTATTAGCCATTTCTACATGTACTGTTGCGCTGTATTTCTTCATTTCTTATATACAATGCGAGCCAACTTGTTTCCAATTGACTCAACACCTGTTCCTAGACTGCTACTACACACGTGGGGACACATCTTATTGCTTTAACTCTTATGCAAAACATATCTGTTGATGAAAGGGCAAACCCTAAATGCTGCCTCTTAAAGCAAATAGCTAATAAAGAATCATAAATTCAATCACCTTGCAGAAAATTATTTCCTTAGTAATATTAACACACAACAAAACTTGATCGTAGTTATAGACAGCGAAAAATGGTGATCAAACGGTTAAGGCCATATAAGTAATTACTACATCATATTCTTGCTGATTGATTACATTACTTCACTTATTTATAATGTGCCTATTTGGAATTATGTGTTTACTCTTAAATTAATGGAAGAACTACTCCCAATTGGGGTATTATTCACTGTATTGTCAATTGATTTTGCATCCAATAACACATTATATCTTCCTTTTACGTTCGTTAATTCCAAGTGCTCTATTTCAATCTATTCTTCTTTCATCGCTTGTTAAAAATTCCAATATTCACACCTACCATTGTGTAAGATGTATTCTCTTTTCGGATAACCCAATTTATGCGTGTTTCATTTCTTCTCTGCAAATTATTGCACAGAGACTTATAATCAATTTAAATGTGTAAGAGGCTTGTTACATCCTGCGTATCAGAAAGGGTGACAAAGCTATATCATGGCTTCCCTCGCTCGTAAGAACACTTAGCTATTTCCCACAATTGCTAGTTCCTAAAACCTCTGTCATTTTTTTATGGCCAATATCTCCTTTTTATAACACACTTTACCAAGATAAACGATCAATTCTGTGTGCAAAATGAAACTCCAAGACCATTACAATTCAAGGGACATATACGCAAGTATTCAGAACCTACCATACTCGTTACAATTTCTTTTTTTAAAGCTGGCGCCAGTACTGATCATTATCCTCCTTCCCATTACGATTTTTGGCAGAGAAAACACTCTTTATTACCTAGATTATGAAAAACATATATTTCTAGTTCGGTATACCTAAATTTCTTCATCTAAGCATGCTTTTAAGTCAAACCAACCGTCATGTTCCACAGTTCGGATTCTTTGTACTGTAAAATACTAGTAAGATGTCAATGAACATGCTCTTTTTATTTGATGCTGCTAATGCACGGTTACTATGATGTTGATTTTAACCCGTCTGTCGATTAGTTGCTTGTGATCGTTTGGTTATGCATGATTTCAATGATTGCCTGCTTCCTGCTGTTTGCGTTTTTGACACTGTGATAGCTTTTCCATGTGAATTTGGTTTTGATGCTCTGTTAACGACGTTCTGCTTGTCTGTCTACGCAATGGGAACGCAGCTCCAAGGTAATAGGGTAGAGACCAAACACGCTGTCCTCGCGAAGCCCTGTTGACCGAAGCATGATTCGTGCGGTCCGGCGGCTGCACGAACGGCAGCCGATGTCCTGTTGGCAAAGCAACACGATGCCTAGAATATTCTGTATGTTCCGGCGTTCACGAATGTTCTGCCTTTGGCTGATCAAAAATGGCCCTGTGTTATTTGATACAGTAGAACCTGCCCTAATCCGCAAATCTTTGAGGCATAATACAGAACGAAAACTTTGGGATGGACGGGCAAAAACATAACCAAAATAAAGTAAATTGCTCATTTGTAGTGCAAAGCAAGGCATTTATAGCATTTGATTATAATACTGTAGAACTGTGAGGAAGTTCACTATTGAAACACAACCTTTTCAAATAAGAAACATTTATTGCACTTGGCTAAACTAACAAGTGTAAAATATCACAGTGTTTATGTGTGCAGTACCAGTGAGAACAACACACACATCTTCTAATCTTTGCCGTAAGGAACGTGAGTTTTCTTGATGAGCGTAGGATCATATACGGCTATCTTCGCAAATCTTTCTTCACCACTGCATGGTCAGTTCTGCCATGTCTCGGAACCAATATACAGTTTATTTGTATATTATTCGTACGGTACAGTTTTTGCCAATAAGTCAGACACATTCTTAGAAACTCTAAACAGCACTGCCACCCCCAACCTTAGTTTGCAATTGACATGGGGTTTCTACCTGTACTTGATCAATTCACCAATGGTGCTCCAAACCTCACGACCCTCTACATCTTCTCTGAACCTTCTTTGGATTTGTAGTCTCTATGTCTCAAAATATCAAGAATGAACATTGCAATGTTTGATTTAAGTATTATTAATTTTACATTTATTCGATGACTTTCCTCTCACCAGCCAGGTAAATTAGTCCCTGTCTAGATGGCATGTATGGAGTGTGAAGGGTCTGTTAGGTTGACCAACTTCTATTCCCGTGAGTAGAGCAGGTATTCAGCATGTATAACAGTTCTTTCAAAGAAGTTAATCTTGAGGATGTCTTCTGTCGTTCATTTTTCTTTTGAATTTTGATGTATAGCATGGTTCATCATGTACATACCTGTTAAAATGAAATGCACGATGCTTTCAGGATAGAGATGATTATGAATAACTTGGACTGAAGAACTTTTGTTCCCTTGGCCGTGCCCAGAAAATAAATTGTCTTCTATGCAACGTCTAAAGACCGAGGTGATGCCTTTCCATAGTCCTGTGTAACTGCGCTTTAAAGCTACTGAAAAACTGCAATCGATGAAGTACTTTAACATATTCGCA